CAGGGGGGGGCAGGGCGGCCCTCGAATTCTGGGGGTTTTTGTGGCGGCCACCTCCCAAAACAAAAAGGGGGAAACCGGGTCAAAAGTTTTTTTTGTAGGTAGAGGAGGGGTACAGCGTTGGGGGGCCCCTTTTTTTCCCCCATTCTCCCATAAACCCAGAAAACCATTTATAAAGGGAAAACCAAGGGGGGATTGGGGGGGGTTTTAAAGGGGGTCCCACGCCGGGGTAGAAACATAGGTGCAGGGGGGGGGGGGGGGGGGGGGGGGGGCAGAGAGAGAGAGAGAGAGAGAGAGAGAGAGAGCAGGCTCCGCCAGGAGCAAGAGAAACAGAGTACCGTATGCATACCAACAATACAAGATCTGCATCACGTTGGCTGCTGTAGCATGTATCCCTATCCCCCCGCGGCGGCTTTCGCTTCGCTCTTGGGATGGTCGTCGCCACGCTCCCCCCTGCTTCGTTGTGCCGCTGTTGGTGTTGACCGGAGCTAAGCACACCTACAGCAGTACCGTAGGTCACCTCCTGAAGCGTCTTTCCACCTACCGCTCTCGTGGTGTCGGTCGAGCCACCTACGCTGCGCTACGTCACCTCCAGCTGAAAGCTTTCTGCCGACCGAAAAACGCCTCCCGTGCTGTCGACAGGACCACCGGCTGAGGTTCGAGCCCACGCCTTGCTTCTCCATCATCAGCTCTGGCGCTTCGCCATTCCAAGCACCAAGCAGCAGCAGCAGCAGCCGAGGCGGCGGAGGCGGCAGAAACGTGGGCAACAACAGCAGCAGTGGGCACGGCTCTGCGACGGCACCAGCAGGCACGCAAGCAGGGGCGGCGGGTTTAGGACAAGGCTGCACGGGCTACGATGATGAGATCGGCGTGATTTGCGTGGACGTGGTGTGCCCGTACACCAGGGCCCTGGTCATGGAGGGGCTGAAGAGGAGGCGGGGGGCATGGCGGGTGACGAAGGACACGTGAGCAAACGCTGGTCGATGTTCGTGATAACCTTGCCTCGGCAGCAGCGGCAGTCGAGTGTTTCGGTCCTCGCCGCCACTGTTTCGCGCTTCGCCAACTTTCCCCGCGGATCGCCCACGGGCATACGCCGCGCACGTGCAGGCAGGCTTAGCCGAAGGGGTTTGTCAACCCAACCGGACCCTCCTCGCACGCATATGTACCGTATTCGACGCAAGATACCACACCCGCTGGACCGGGTTTCAAAAATCGATTTTTCAACAGAAGAAAGGGTCGCAACGCCGAACGGTGGCGTTGAAGCCATATCGTCAAGATCTTTCTGAAAATGTATCGTTTCGTTTATGCATCCCCTTCGTCGTGGCCTAATCGGGCTTTGAAAATCGGCCCAGGGGGGTGTGTGTTATCTTGTGTCATGTCGTACACGGTATGTCACCAAGAACTGGCCGTCCTTCGCCCCAACGGTTGACGTACTTGCCTGGCGTGCCTTTGTAGCGCGGAAGCCACTCTACACTGGGGAGACTACGAGATGATCGACTGGGAGCGAGTGGTCTCAGGGGAGCTTCGCGCCAGCTCCTACTGCGTTCGGAAGGTACGGCTTCGCCGACGCGCGGGAGAGGCCAGCTTTGTGGCCGAAATTTCGTACACAACGAGGAGACGTTTGTGGTTGTCGGTACGAGTGCTTGCTTGGCTTCTCATGGAAAGGCGAGGGAAAGAACGTGGACAAGGGCAACGGTTACGATCGTGTCCTTAGCCTTCCTGTCGGCATCTTTTTGTCTCTGCGTACGCTTACATTATCCATTGCCGCGCCGCGACTGTGTGTTGGTTTCCGCTGAATGTAGTGGAAGCCAGATGTCCCCCTCCCCCCCCCCAAGTCTTGCTTGACCCTTCCGTAGCTTCCAGGCCTTTGATCCCTCCACACCCTTGTTCCTTTCTTGGTGCTACATCATGAAGGGTTTGAGCAGGAAGGCTCAGTTGTCGAGGTACTGCAACAAGTACGCGTCCAAGAGGCCTGGGACTCCGTTGGAGACGGCAATGGTAAGGAAGGGAGATAGCCCCAGTAGTTTCCGTACGTGGGGTTGGTTCACCACTCGCTTGTCTCTGCAGCATTTGTGGCTTCTATATCTACGTCTGTGTACATTTTCGACCACTATTTCTTGTATGTGATTTCAACCCTTTTTTTTTGCGCGAAGCGATGAGCAATTCACGGCCAAAATTGCTTGCCCAACCCGCTCGAGAACACGAGAAGTACGTATTGGAAGCAGCCGATTGCATGGAAACATAAACATCATGCTTCGGGCCACCCGGCTACAGGGTGAATTGGTGTCGTACGAATGGGCCAGGCGTCAAGTGGTACTGTCTGCATGCAAGGCTCGGTAGAGTCACTCTCCATGGAGCTGCAAAACAATGCTTGTGCCGCCCACTCTTTTTTGTTTGTTTTCTCCAATGCTTTTGCTCTCTGCACGTCCCTTCGCGGCTGGTAAGGATGGACCCTCTTGCACCTCACTCCACTATTGCAACCCCCCCCCCCCCCCCCCCCCCC